GTGCTCCTTCCACATGTGTCCTCACAAATACTGGTTCGAGTCACTGCAGCTGGAGAACGGTGGGTCTGTTCTACTAGGTGATAACAAAGCTTGCAGGGTAGTCGGCAGCGGGACAATCAGAATCAAGATGTTCGACGGAGCTGAAAGGATACTGCAGCACGTCAGGTATGTCCCGGAACTCAAAAGAAATCTGATCTCTCTAGGTACACTGGAGTCAAGTGGATACTCAGTCAAGGCAGAGAATGACTGCATCAGAGTATCCAAAGGTTCTCTTATAGTCATGAAAGGAGTCAGAAAGAATGGACTATACTCACTAGTTGGAAGAACCGTGATCGGCAACTTCTCAAATGCAGTTCAATCAGAACCTGACAAGACCAGACTATGGCGCATGAGACTGGGGCATGTAAGTGAAAGAGGCTTACAAGAACTGTCCAAGCAGAGTCTGTTATGTGGAGATCGAGTCAGCAAATTGGAATTCTGTAAACAATGAGTTTTAGGGAAGGCCACCATGGTGAAGTTCTCTACCGGAACTCACTCATCAAAGAAACCCCTTGACTATGTTCACAGCGATCTATGGGGGCCAGCCAGAACTCAGAAACATGGAGGAGGGAGATACTTCATGTCCATCATAGATGGCTACACTAGGAAGGTATGGGTTTTCTTTCTTAAATCAAAGGATGAAGCTTTTCAAAGGTTCAGGGACTGACTAACTGTCACAGAAAATAAGATGGAAATCAAGCTGTAGCACTTGAGAACTGGCAATGACTTAGGGTACTGTTCAGAGCAGTTTGAGAAGCTGTGCAGGAGGAATGACATCACAAGGCACAAGACAGTCCGGAACACTCCTCAATAGAATGGCCTGACTGAGAGGATGAACAGGACTCTCCTAGAGAGAGTGAGGTGCATGCTGCTAAATGCAGGTCTACCCAAAAGTTTCTGGGGTGAAGCCGTGTCAACCGCTTGCTACCTTATCAACAGATGCCCATCAACTGCTATCGATATGAAGACACCTTCGGATATGTGGTACGGGAAACCAGGTAACTATGATAATCTCAAAGTTTTTGGATGTGCTGCATATGCTCATGTTGGACAGGATAAGCTGGAAGCAAGGGCCCTGAAGTGCATTTTCATTGGATACCCACCTAGAACCAAGAGCTACAAACTCTGGTGCTTAGATCAACAGAAATGGATCATCAGTAGAGATGTGACATTCGATGTGTCCAAAATGGCGAATCTGTATAGCCATGCTGCCAAAAACATCATCACCAAGGAGGATTTTTCAATTGAGGTGGAGCTGCAACAACAACGAACTTTGACAGATCAAAGGACTGTTGTGAACGATCAGGATGAAGTGGCAGAGGAGCAGCAAGTGATTGAGCCAGAAAGAAGACCTGATGACTACAGCTTGGTAAGGGACAAACAAAGAAGAAATATCAGACCGCCAGAGAGATACGACCATGCAGATATAATCTCATATGCTTTAAGTGTTGCCGAAGAGATAGAAGAAGCAGAACCGAGCAACTACAAGGAAGCCCTAAAGAGCAAGGAAAGACTCAGGTGGGAAGAGGCAATGAATGAGGAAATGGCTTCTCTGATGAAGAACAAAACCTGGGAACTTGTAGATCGACCAAAGAACAAACGAGTGGTTGGTTGCAA